TATGATAAGCAAAGTTACTGTGTTGGCATTAAATATTAGCTTTGGTTGTTAGTACTGTTGGTATTAATAATTGTAGTTAATATTGATCAGACTTTATACTACAAGCATAACTTACATACCCTGTGACAGAATACTTCTGGTTTACTAACTTATTTTCCCTTGCCTTTTTTAAAAGTTACTATGTTTTAAAGAATCATTTATCTTTATTTGAAAGTCAGATTTTACATAGTATGAAGGAGCGATAGAAAGAGAGGTGTTCTACTTACTGGTTCACTCCCCAAATGTCTGCAATGGCCAGAGCCGTGTTGATCAGAATCTGGAAACTGGTCCTTCCAGGTTTCCCACATGGGTGCAAGGTCCCAAAGACTTAGGCTATCCTCTGCTGCTTCCCCAGGACATAAGCAGAGAGCTGGATTGAAAGTGGAGCAGCTGGGGCACAAGCCAGCACCCAGGTACGACGCTGGCGCTGCAAGGCAAAGGACTTGCTTGCTGTGCTATTGTGTTGGCATACTAACTAGTTTTACAGAAGGCCAACATAGATCTTTGTCTTACAGATGAGAGACTGAGGTTTAGCAAGGTTAAGCAATTCTGTGTGTCCATCGTCATAGCTCCCACATGTCCACTGGCTGCAGAATCTGTTTTTTTTAAAATTTACTTTTAGGTTTGCTTTTTAAACTTTAAAATCTGGGCTTGCCTTTCAAATGAAACAAGCAGTACATTACAGTGTCTGTGATTTGATGTAAGCGCTCGGCACCACAGCTCATCTAAGGACTGATGGTCATCATTCATGTGGATGCTTCTGACTGGAAAGGTCAAAAGACAGAAAATAGCTGTGAGAACAACACAAAGAGTTTGGATGGCAGTGTCACATCATTCATCAGTTTTACAATAGTGTTGGCCTTTCTCAATATTTTGTAAAGAAGAAGTTGTGAGACAGCAAAAACAGAGCCACGAATGAACAAAACTGGAAATGGGACAAGACTTCCTTGAAGAGGAAGGAGATGGTATTCTGGCCTAAAAGACAGTCCCTTGGTCCTTTTTTTTTTTTTCCTAGAGAATTCTGCATCCACTTGTCTTATTCACAACTTCTGCATGGATTTTTCTCCACTATTTGCAAAGTGGAAAATTCCCTTACTCTTCACTATCTTCTGTATTTTCAACACCAATCTATTGAAGCAACTTCAGAAGATGAGCATGAAATGCTGTGAGTTAAGGTGTTTCATTAGCTGTGAAGTAACAGAAGAGGTTTTATTTCTATTTTGGGCTTAAGATACACATGGATCAAAATATGTTATACTTGGTGTTGAACAAGTGCTTTAACTTGTCCTTTTTCTGGCAAATTAGTGAGAGTACACTAAGCACTTGCAGGTTTTGTCTTTCTTACCATGGTATTGAGGGAACGTAGTGCATCCCTTATCACTGACTTGCATATGTAACATGACTTGTGTATTAAAGCCCAGTGTGATTTATTCTCACTCCATAGCCTTCTACTATAATAGCCATTGGTTAAATAAAACCCTGCTTGAACAGATAACACCTTTCAGAGAATTTTACCATATGAAATTCTCTGTTAGTGTGTATAAAAAGATGTTTTCTGTTCACTTTTCCTGATCCCTTTTTTTTCAAACAGGAGACTGTATTTAATGTTTCTTCTCCCGATGAATTTCAGATTTGTTTTCTTCATGATGTCCTTATTTTTAAGAAGTAAAATTGTCTCTTGTGGCTTATGCAAGTTACAAAATGTCTCACTAGCAAAGATTGATATTTCTTCGCCCTGAAAAAACCTTCAGAGAGAGTTATGGTGCTGAACTTAAAATAACTTGTAGAAAATTTGGTTTGGGAAAGATGTTCTCTGTTATGGTTCTGCCACTGGAAGGCTATCCACTCTTGTGAGTTTGAGAGTGTAAGGGCTTCTTCATTGAGAGTCGAGGTCTTCACACCAATGTCTGGGTTAATGTTTAGTAGCAGCTGGTTGGTTTTCATTCTGACTTGCTTGAAATCAGCCCTGTCAGACAGTATTGTATGGCAGTTTGGCAGTTTTTCATATTTCTTTTAAATTTTAGTTATAGGCTATCAAATCTTAAGCAATTACTTCTGGGTTAGTTTCTTGATGAATGTCATAGCAGTGTTTTAATTTCATGGAGCCAGAAAAACATCTGTTTCTAATACTTTAAAAGCTAATTTATATGGAAATTTACATAATATACAGTCAATACACGAAGACTAGCAAGAATCATGATCAAAATGAAAAATCAAGCTACTAGAATATGGTAGACTTTCTGTTAGAAGCTTTTCTTATGACAGGGTTCGGCTCCTGCTGGTTAACACAAAATGCCACAATTTGGAAAAGATAGTGATGTGTTTATGGTACTCGTTGGTGAATTGGTCAGCACAGGGCCAATGTTCTCTCCAGGGAAGGTGACTTGGTTCCTTTTTTCCTGTTGCTCTTTTGATTGGTTTTCCTAACAACACCTATGGGTCAAGATGGCTGCTGAAATTCCAGTGATTATATGTGTGATCCTCCCAGATGGAAAAAAGTACAGGGCGAGGGGAAGGAGGCCAAGCTTTTCTGTTTGACAGTCTGTTGGGAGTATTAACCCAGAGTCAGTAATTTGATTATACTTAGCACCCAGTGAAGTAGGTAATTGTATATTTTAGTTCTTACTCTAGATTATCATGTACCCAATAAAAGGCTGATGTTCTATTAGTTATGGGAAAAGGGGAGAATAGATACTAGAGAACAATGCTTTATTAGTACCAAATAAAATTACTTCCAAGACATAAGTTTTAACAGATCTCTGTTTTATACTGAATTAACTTGTAGGAAGTCCTTAATTCTTGTAGGACAATAACATGTTAAAGAAGCAACACAGTATTTGGCGCACAGCAGGTAATGCCAACTACTGACCAATCTTTTTATTCTAACCACTAAATGTATCTGATTTCACAACTTGCAGGTCAGGTACACAGTACAGATGGTACTACACTCTGGGAATACTATCAGCAAAGGGAGCTGAGATCATGTTTGCAATGGGTACTCTTGAAAGTTTATGTGTCTACAAAGCTGTGTTCTCTGCTTTTCTATGTAAATGACAAATGAAAGAATGTAAAGGTAAAACTGTAACCAGAAAAACAAACTCAGAGGGTAATTAGGAAAAAAAAATTACAGATACTGTTAAAAACGGCCGTTGAGCCTCATTGATCTTAGCTGGAGTGCTAGCTCTGCTGTGTCCAATGATTTTGTCACCATGGATGGTTTTGTTAATCTGAAGCTTTGCTGCATTTTGTTCTTGACGTGTGGTAGGAAGCTGCAATGCTGGTATTCAGCAGTGGTTTTCTCTGTTCAATGTTTTTCCAACTTGATTTTTAATAATTACATGCAAGTATTTTTTAGAATCATAGTTGCCTATCAGCAGATGGCAAAACTGATAAAAAAAAAAAAGCTGTATGTCCAATGTATTATAGAAGCCTAATAATACATCTGTGAATCTTGAGCTACACAATGCCTTCAAGCCCTGAAATACCCTTATCAGACTGGGCTGAATGTCAAACTGTGCATTTTCTCATTTCTATACTCTGACTACTTCTACCTGTTAGGTTCTGTTAATTCGCTTAAGTGTTTACAAATATAGCCACCCTGTGTTCTGGAAGCACAGAGAATGGGAATCAGGCATCACTAATACATCCCATTGAATATTTGCCCATGACCACATATGCCAGTACTCTTGTTTCCTTAATATGTTTATATTGACTTTTGACTTTGTATTCTGAGCAAACATGAAATTCATCTCTGATGTGATTATTAGATTTTTTTTCTCAAATACACATTAAAAAATGAAAGCATTAAAATTTTTGCAAGGTTTGTTTGCATGTCTTTTAATTGCCTCAGTTGGTATAGCTCAATCACATTTGGAGGATACCAGAACAGTGGAAAAAGTACGCACATGGGACTCTGTGCTATTTTTCCCAGCTCATGTGACTTTCCAAAATTACTCCTTGGCAATGATAATTTCCTCACTTGAGAGGACAATAATATCTACCTCACCAGATTTGTTACAAGGATTAAGTGTTGAGATTCAGCCAAGCAATGAGAATGGTGCTTGGCTGATAGCAGGTGATCAATAAATTCTAGTTCCTTCCTTCTTAAGGGTCATTTGAAAATGCGAAGGTATGCATGACAAAATGGAAGTGCAAGAAAATTGAAATCCTTTTATGATTTTCTTGTGGTTGTTTTCTACATGAACTTCCTGAAGACTGCTCATAGCAAGCATGTGAATTCTGTGGTGATAGGTTCAGTAGGAGCTCGGCATTGGGAAAGGCTGGATTTGACTAGAAAGAAGGGGAGACACCATGATGGTAGAGAGTGTTTTTTTTTTTTCCCCTAGTTTCCAGCTTTTCAAGCCTTTATTTCTGTAAGTGTGGTAGACATCCCAGAGAGCCATTAGAAATGTGAACTCTTGGGTTTTTCTGCAAAGCGCTTGGATCAGAACCTGCTAGTCACATATCTCAGCTGATATTGATCTGTGAGATCCACTACTCTGGGCCCTGAGATTCTGCATAACATTGGTTTCTGTAGGGCTTCAGTCCTGGCTCCGACCATATCCCCTGCCTCATGATCAGCTACATCCTCTTAAAAAATATACCTTCTCAAGCCTACCCCAACCTGCAGCCCAAAGTGTGCATTTGTATCCACTGTGACACATGTTGTTTAGGGCAATGGGTTTGCCACTGCCACAATAAAGCAGAAGTCACTGGTAGAAAACTGCATTTAAATGTGTTTGCATCCCAAGAGAAAGGAAGTTTGTAGGAACAAGTAGTACAGCCCTAATTGTGGTGGGAGTTAAGGTGAGGGCACGAATTCATCCTTTCTGTGCCTGGAATCCCAAGGTCACATAATGACTGAATTTCTGAGGAAGACAGTATCTTTAGCAATGACATATGGTTTTTACTTTTTTCTTTTTTGTGTTTTACATTCTGTTTTTTAACATCTTGTTTTTTAGCCGTGCCATCAAGACTAATCAGGACCTTCTCCCGGAAACTCCATGGACTCATATTTTCTACAATGATTTTTGGGGAACTCTTCTAACGCACAGCGGCAGCCACAAGTCTTACAGGCCACTCTGCACTCTCTCCTTTCGTCTGAACCACGCCATCGGAGGGCTGAATCCCTGGAGCTACCACCTCGTCAATGTCCTGTTGCATGCGGCTGTCACTGGCCTCTTCACAAGCTTCTCCAAGATCCTCCTTGGTGATGGATACTGGACCTTCATGGCTGGCTTGATGTTTGCCTCACACCCCATTCACACCGAGGCAGTGGCAGGAATCGTGGGCCGGGCCGATGTTGGGGCCGGTTTGTTCTTTCTCCTCTCCCTGCTCTGCTATATTAAACACTGTTCAACAAGAGGCTACTCAGCCAGGACCTGGGGCTGGTTCCTGGGGACAGGACTGTGTGCAGGATGCAGTATGTTATGGAAGGAACAAGGAGTGACTGTTCTGGCAGTTTCGGCGGTTTATGACGTCTTTGTCTTTCACAGGCTGAAAATGAAACAGATCTTGCCCACCATTTACAAAGTAAGTGATTGTTAGCTCTTAAGCATTGGATTACAGAATAATCTGCTTGCTTGGTCCTATGCCACCATTTAAATCGCAAATTTGTTCTTCTTCAATCAGAATTTAAAATAAGTTCCTTTTTGATGCTGGGTAAGTGGAAGTGATCTTCTTGACCTTTCTCAGCTAAGCTGGGTTTCAGTCATTGGTTGTTTTCCTTCTCAGGTTTCTTGACTTATGCTTATATTTTCAAAGGTGGCAGAAGAATAATTTAGCCTTGTAAAGCCTATACATCTTTGTCATTGAGTTTTTTATTCATTATTTATTTCCGTCAAAATTCCCTAAAATAGATGGCCTGTGATGTCATTTGTAAGAATAACATGGCTGATAGCAGAGCTCGACGCTTCAGAGGGGAAATCCTCTGCCATTTGTTAGTATTACTTTTCCTGAGTTTGGAAAGCAACTCCTCTCTGTGGTGCTCTGGGAAGTTGAATTCTTAAACAATGAATCATGTTACTTTACCCTTGTTGTACTGGATAAGAATAGAAGAGTCAAAACAGAAAGGGGTTATTAAAGGCTTGGCCCTGAAGTCAATTTAGCTTTTTACTTCAGGGATGTGCCCTTCTGCATTCTCTCAGATGCTTTCAAGTGTCTTGTATGAGAGTTGTAGAAGTACTTCAGGTTCCCCTACACCTGAATAATCTGGACAGTTTGTGTATCCGTGTTCAGGCCGGGAACTGGAGGGGATGTGTGCCTGCCTTCCGGTCCAGCTCCAGTCACAGGACACTCGGACTTGCTTTGATGTTTTTTTTTTTTTTCTTTTGCTTTGATTTTTAAGAGTCCTGGCTGACACTGGCCAAGTTTGGAAACTTTGTACTTTGAAGAAACTTTGCTTCCCTTTGGACATCAGTGAGGAATTACTGTTTTGGATACAGACTGTGAGGAAACTGTCAAATTTGCCTGATTTTTACTACTTCTTTCCCTTCCATTCTCAGTCTTCCTTATACTTACATTGGGAAGAAATTAAAAAGCCAGGAAAAAATTGAGGAAACCAGATACCTAAGTTTGTTTTTTTTTTTTCTAATTACCTTTGTTACCATTTTCACAGGCAGTGTTGTATTTTTGTTATGTAGGAAGTATAAAGTTTTCAATTAGAACTCAAGTATCAAAAGTCTAATGAAATTCTTTTGTGATTTCACTTATTCGCTTAATTGCTTAAACTTTGAAATCAAGCACTAGCAGGGTTTGATGTTTGAAAACGGATGGTTTGGACATCAGGCTGTTAATTTCAAGTCCACCTGAATTATTCTTGCAAGGAGATTTTCAGAGGCTGATGGTTTTCTCCTGAAACACTGTTGTGAACAATTACAAACTTCTTTATTTTACTGTAAGTACAAATAGAGTCAGTATAATTCACAGTCCTTGTTCTTGGTGAGGTTACGACTGTTTGAGGAGGTGGGAAGAGTAGCTGTTGCAAAACTCACATTAGCAGATGTCACACATGTTCTTTCTTTCATTTATATATTTTGGGAGAGAAAGTGATATCAGTCCAGACAGTGCTTCATCCACAGATTCACTCCTCTCCAAATGCCTGTGGCAGCTTGAACTGGAATTGGGAGCAGATTTGAAGCTAAGCACTGTAAAGTTGTGATATGTGGACATCTTGATCAGCATTTTAACTGCTAGCCCAGGTGCTCACTATACACGCATAATCACACATATACACTACTTGGGTCAGTAGTATTTTGATTCTGGAAGTCACATTTAGTGTATTTCTTCACAGTGTTCATGGCATTGATTATGTAACACCCAGTCAGCTCCTCTCCCTCAAACCTAGATATCTCCATCAACGTAGACAGAAGAGGTCATGGTAGATTAAAGGTTATATCCTCCAAGTACTGTTCCTTTCCATCCTATTATTGCAATATGAAAATGCAGATTTCTATTTGCCTGAGTCAAGTATTCTCCTACAGTCATAATCTGACATTTTCTGTGACATGTTCTGTTTGGTCATTAGATGACAAAAGTGTTTGAAGTATACAGTATCTTTCACATATGTGGATTTCACCAATTTTGATAATTTAAGATTCAGGTTACTGTACATATTCATATTACCAAGATTTTTTGTAATTTTAGCAAGAATTTTGAAAATCATATTTTTCTGCGATGAAGTATATGAGATACAGTAGGTACCTGGCATACAATAGATATGTTATTTAATATTTAATAAATACTTGGAATATTTATATCCACTGACAGTAGTCTTAGTGCCCTAAAGCAGTATATTCCTGTACAATCAGTTATAAGTCCATCATTCTGCTCTTTAAGTATATCCTGACAGTGTAGGCATGGGAAATGGCACAGTCCAGCATCTTGTTGTTGAGATCCATTTAACAGTCTCATTGGGTGTCCATCTTTGATCTTGAAGTAGAGATTCACACCCCATTATTCCTTCACACTTGTATGTCATAGTCTAGTGTAAAGTTACTATGCACCCACTTAGATGAAAATCCATCAAACAAAATCAGCAACAGATAGAAAAATAGGAAATTTACACCAAAATCAAGTTAAAATATGCTACTGAATGACCAATGTGTTGCTGAAGAAATTTAAAAAAATCAGACCTTCCTGAAGCAAAAGATGCTATTGTGTGATCTGCGAGTCAGGAAATTAATAACAAAAACAAACTTTTTTTTGAATGAAAATAAAACAAAAATATCAAACCTTGTGATATGTAGCACAAGGAATACTGCAAGGGCTGTTGATTTTGTATTTTGCATGAAGATTGCCTCATATCAAAGAGAACGTGATATTTATCCTTTTAGGATTGACTTTTTCACTGAGCGTAATGGTCTGTAGTTGGGACCACTTGGTTGCAAATGGTAGAATTTCATTCCTTTTAATGACTGAGCAGTACTCCATGGAGTAGATACACTGTGATTTTTTTTTTTAACCTCCCCTTTTGATGAGCATCTGGGTTGTTTCCATGTCTTTGCTATTGTAGATTGTGTTGCTGTAAATATAGGGTTACAGATCCCTTGCTCAAATGCAGATTTCATTTCATTTGGATTTATTCTCAGCAATGGTATAGATGGGTCATGTAGCAACTCAATTGTCAGTTCTTCCTCCAGCCCCATTTTGTCACAAACAGCAGATGCTATGGCCCGGATCAACTCAGCCTACTACATACTCAGCTTTCATGTACACCTGTGGGAGCTGCAGCCTGGTTGAAGTGACATCCAGTAACTCCCACCAGGCCTCCCCCCTCCCCTGGTTTCTGTACATGCTGGTATGTGCAGCACACTGGTCTGGTCTGTACCCCATCCCATTTGGCTTTTGTACACAGTGATAGGTGCAACAGCCTACCTCAATCCAGCTAGCCTCATTATGCAGCCCACACTCATGTTAGAGAGTACCATCACTGATCTAGCCAGACCTGCTCCTAGGCCCTGATTCTCACGTTCGCCAGTGGGAGTTGTAGCCCTTCAGAGAGGTGCCCACTTTGTCTGTACTGAGCCTATTCCCATGCGTAGATCTTGCACTCTCCGGGCAGTTCTGCAGTCTATCTTGACAGGATTTGGCCACGGTCCCAGCACTTGCCAGCTGATGCCGCAGCAAAGCCCAGCCAGCCTTCACTTAACTCTGCCTCATGCATGTACCAGTTAGTACAGTGGATTATCCCAGCCTGGCTCTCCCCCTAACGCAGTTCACATGCAGGTCAACAGTTGTTGTAGCCTTGACAGGCCTGTCTGGCCTGCCCCCATTCCTGGTTCTCGTGCTTGCCAGTGGGAGCAGTGCTCAGCAAGAGAGGCTGCACTGCTCCCTTACTCTCCGCCCTCCTCCTAGCTCTCAGTTATGCTGGTGGATGCTGCAACCCAGTCTTGCATGGCCCACCACTCCTTAGCATTAGCTGGTAGATGCTTCAGCCCAGCCCAGCCAGCCTTGTCTGTGCCTGATTCCTGCTCATGCTGTGGGTGCTCAGCATATCCCAGCCCAGCCAGCCCCAGTCTTGGCCCTAATGTGATCTGGCTGATGCTGTAGCCCGGGCTGGCCTGTCCTGCTCCCCTTCCTGGTTCTCAGATCTGCCAGTGGGTGTTATGAACTGGCCCAGCTTGTTCAGCTCCCACACCTGTGCCACACAGATGCTGGCAGTACTGTAACCTGGCTTTGTCTGGGCTGCTCCTTGCCTTGCTTCTTGTGCTCCCAGGGACTGCATCCTGACAAAGGGGTTCCCGAAGCTCCTCTGTCAGGTCCCCTTCCTGTGGCAGATCTCGTGCCCACTGATGGGTCCTTGGCACAGGCTAACTTAGTCCACCTCCTGTCCTAACAGGAATGGTGGCCTTACCCAACTTGCCCGCACTCATTCTGGTTCATACTGTTGGGTATTAAAACCCAGCCACAACTGGCCCATGCCCAGACCCAGCTCTCATGTTTTTCAGTGGGAGCTGAGACCTAGCCAGCAGAGCCCATTAAACACACTCTCTGGCTCTTATGAGCACCAGTGGGTGCTGGAGTTTGGCCCAGCCTTGCATAGCCCAGATCCAGTCCAACTCCATGCCAAGGGAGACTGCAGCCACGTCCAACCCAGATTGTCATACTCATCCAGGCTCTCTTGTTCACCAATGGGAACCACGACAATGCCTGGGTGTCCTCTTAGCTCCCCAACAGCCCTGTTCTCAGCTACAGATCTTGTGTATGCCACTGGTTGCTCTGACCCAGCTAGTAGGCATAGCCTATGTCCCATCCTGGCCTTTGCCATGGGATGCTGTAACCTGGCTTGTCCCACCTTGCCTCCAGTTCTAACTCACTGGCGGGTGCTGCAGTATAGCCCTGCTCAGTCTGCTTCCTTCAGTGTTTCATGCAACTGGTTGGTGTGATAGCCTAGCTTTACATACAGTACACTGCACCTGCAAGTGTGCTAAGGTTTGGTCTGACCCTTCCCAATTTGTCCCCCTCCAAAACCAACCCACACACTTGACAAGGTAGTCCCCTTCTTGGCTAGCCTGACCAACATCCAGGCCTGA